TAAGGGACTTTCTTTTCTTCCAGAGTCAGTTGCACCCTTTGGTAGAATGGATCTTAAAGTTTCAAAAAAAAAAAATAAAAAAAAGATTTCATTTCTACAGTATTGTGTGTAAAGAAAGAAAGAAATGGATGAAGAAAGAGTGGATTACAGCCATGGCTCATAGTTGTTCACTTTCATCACAAGACCTCACAAATCCATAGCCCTTTGTACATCCAATTATCTTATACTTACCGTACTGAACAATAGAAGGTGAAGATTTATCATTAGTAACCCATATGACCCAAATGCGTTTATTTCCAACAAAGGAGATGTGAACCTGCAAATGGCCATTTCACCAAAAAATTTAGAGAAATCAATCGGGCATTGTACTAATAAAGTAATTCCATCAAACAAATTTCTTAGCATTTCTTTATTTTGAAGTTTAAGATGCTCATATTTAAGAAATCATTTTTGATATTGTTAAATAGACTAACAGAGACTCCAACACACTCACCATAGAATGACATTCGAAACCAAACAAATCAAACTTTAATCTAGTCATTACAGAGTTCAATCGAGCAATAATTCATTAATTTTACAACTGTTAATGCCTAAAATTCCTGCACACTCAAATACCTTAAAATCTTGCAAACCTATTACTACATATACTACCTCTAAACACATTCACTTTCTTTCAAGAATTGAGAAATAACGATAAACCATAAACAATTAATAATTTGAAACCCACAAAAAACAAAGGAACTAATTTTTTTTTTTAAAAAAACAATGAATCTTAAGTGAAGTTCAAATTTTTCCCTTAACTTCTCTCATAATAAATAGGGTAATTGGCGCAAAACGTCCCTATCTTTCGAGTTTATTGTGGAAAACATCACTACCTTTCATTTCTTGGTGCAAAACGTCCCTATCTTTCACATTTTTTGCTCTGAACATCCTTTTCACCAAATTTTACCATAAAATGACCAATATACCCTCATATTTAAATAAAATAAAAATAAAAAATAAATTACAGTCATACTTCCAAACTTTTTAAAAGGTACAAAACAGTCCAAAAGTCTTATTAAAACATTAAAAATGAAAAAATAAATAAAATCTCTCCTTTCCCCAACCCCACAGGCCACAGTTGATATTCATCCCCTCCCTCCCTCTCTCACTATGATTAAATTAGGAAAGTTTGTGAATTTTTTGGGAGCAGAAGGTACCATCTTTTGTAGCTGCATTTGCTCCAAAAATGAATAAATTTCATGGAGAAATGCTGGCTCTATTGGTGGGTGTCGTAATTCAGCTATCCTCACTGCTAGTGGATTCAGGTTTGCATCGATCTGGACATCCCACTGACTGCAGATAATTTCATTTAAATTTTGTCCAGTAACATCGTAAAAACATGTTATTTACACGTGGTAAAATTCCAAATCGTCGAAAATAATGCCGATAATTTTGTGGGGAAATATGTCTCGAAAGATAAATAATTTGTAGGGAGGATAGCTGATTTTTTTTGCCGATAATATGTTAGTTGAGTAATATCTTGTGCATTGTGTGTCGTTTTCGCTTCTGTGCTCGATAATTTTTGAAAATGGGGTTTGGGTTTCTTATTATTTTCTGTTTGTAGAATGAACAGAGAAGATGGCTATGGAGCAATATCTAGATTCTGGTTCTTCTTTGTCTGATGCTTTTTACTGTGAAGAAGAAGTAAAATGGGGTGAAGTTGAAGAAGCAGAAGAAAAAGAGAGTGAAATTATTTTCAATAATCATTTTAATGGCAAAAAATTCAGCTATCCTCACTGAATGAATATCAACTAACCCCTTTGGTGGAGGTGTGGCGTTTGGGTTTCTTGATGCCGTTCTTGTGGGTCTTGTGGGACTGGTTATGGGCAGTGTGGTTCTTCTATTTCGCCATTTCTTCTCTACACCGGAAGGAAAAAAACAATAAATGCCGTGGTGGTTGGGCGAGGAGGAGGAGGAGGCGAGTGGACTGTGGGGTTGGGGAAAGGAAAGATTTTATTTATTTTTTTTCATTTTTAATATTTTAATAAGACTTTTGGACTGTTTTGTACCTTTTAAAATGTTTGGGAGTATGACTGTAATTTGTTCTTTATTTTTATTTTTATTTTATTTAAATATGAGGTTATATTGGTCATTTTATGGTAAAATTTGGTGAAAAGGATGTTCAACGCAAAAAATGTGAAAGGTATGAACGTTTTGCACCAAGAAATGAAAAGTATGGATGTTTTCCACAATAAACTCAAAAGGTATGGACGTTTTGCGCCAATTACCCTAATAAATCTTAACAATTGACCGAAAACAAAATACTAAGAAACGATTT